AAATACATCGAAGAGCTGTGCTGCAAAGCTGTAAATAACAACATACGGCAAAGGTAATCCATTCTCTTCTTACGAAACATATTTGTTTTAAAGAAAATTGCTTGTTGCATCATTAGGAAGGCCTTTTTTTGGTCAAAGCTGTCAAAAGTACAATTTGTTATTTTTTGAATAATTTGGATTCCATTGTATTTATTTCCAATTCACAACATGCAAAAAGCTTTGAAAACAAAACGTGAGTACGTTCATGTGTATGTGCACATGCGCGTACGTGTGTTTGTGTAATATTCATACTTCCATTTCTTTATCCCACTGAAATCTATAAATCTGCTGGAATATTTTAGCATCTTGCTTGCGTTTCCGGATCTGCTTTTCCTGGTAAAATCCTGCCTTCTCTGCCAGTTGCATACTCAGCTGTCCGACTGTGTTTTCTTTAACTTTCAGTCCTCTCGAGACATATTTACATTCCGCACACATGCACGCACGTACGCACGCACACGCACAGGTGTATATATAAGATTGTTCATCAGATGCAATTCGCCATTCCTTCGGAATGCAATGCATATCTGTGTTTGAAAACACGCGGGGTCTTTTTTTTTAATGATCGTGTGTATGTTATGCAATTTTCTGTAGATTATTTATAGCATTGAGGTTGAGCCGCGATGCACTGGTTAGCACACTATGAACCCGGTGACCCGAGTTTGATTCCCAGCCACCAGGCCTGGGCCCTCTCTTCACCAAACCAGACTGACCAGCATGGTAAAGTTAAACAATCTCCACAATCGCGTAGCAAACTGATCATAATAGGTTCATTTAATTATTATCATCAGCCATTGCCAATGCACTGCTGGATAAAAGTCTCCTCAAACCACCACAATCTCTCAGGATCCTGTAATGTAATAATAATCCACCTAGGTATAACTTGCCAGTGGTGTTAACCGTGACTGGGAATCGAACCCGTGTTGATGAACGCAAGTGAAAACTAACAAGCGTCTTTGTTTTTGCGATGCATTGAGTGGACCTTCACGCCAATATAATTTTCCACCTCACAGGACATTTCATTAAGCCGAGCCTTAACATTGCTGTCAGAAAGTAGCTGGTTACGTGGGGGTGGGGGAGGGAGGTTGCGCAGGGGCACTTCATTTCATAATATGCTAGGCTTTTTCATTGGAAATGCTCCGGGCAGATTGCTGAAGCATGAGGGCTCTTGGCAAGGAACAAAGAAGGGGCTTCAGTCCAGCCACCTGCAAAAGCCGTGCCCATTTCACAGCAGCGGCCACAGCCAGGGTCCTAATTCCACCTGCGTTGCGTCCAGAGCCGGTGTGTCTCGTTATCAAATGTCTAGACGAAACAAATTCCACGAGCACCTCGACGCGCCGAGATTGCTGGGGACAAGACTCCGTGCGTGTCGCACGCATCTCAGCGATGACCACGATTACGTTGACGCAACACGTCACGCTACCTCATGACGAAGCCGAGAAAATGGCAAGAGAGAAAATTTTACTTTTATTTTTAATAAACTTACAATGTGTAGGAAAAAAAGCTACTTGCCCATTTCAAAGTTAGAATCATGTAAGCATGTTGTTAAAAATGTTTTTTTGCAATCGGTGTTATGTCAGACAAACAATACATTGGGAATTCTCTCAAAAAGATGCAATAACCCCATGTTAGAGAATGGTTCGTGGAAATGGATGTCAAGGATCTACCTGTGAATTATGTTCTTGAAGTGACTTCTTAAAACACACTGGGAGGGGGGGGGGGCAGACTTATTTAATTTTGGAGTTGGAATTCAAGCAAATCAATTGATAAATCGATATTTTAAAATGATGTTACTTCTTATACAGATCAGTCTGAGAGTAACAACTCACTACACTTTAGAACCCTATTTAAAATTACGGGCAATTGTCCAAATTGGAACCCAACATCTCAGTGCTCAGACCTCTGAGCCACCCTGCCTTCTCTAGAAATATTATGACCATGTAAAACTTTAAGATAAAATGTAAAAAATGTATCTGCAATCATTCAGGGTGCTTCAGTGGTCTGGAATTCAGCCAAAATCCACTGAGTCTGTTGTTTTGCAGTCCCCAAATCTCAGAGCTCCAACGATTTTGTGATGCGAGTTCTGCATCAAAAAGCACTTCATAAGCTATGTCTGTTGTTTGTTGTGAACCAAGTGACGCGTTGCGTTCTGCTTAAGAATACGTCATTGTTCGGTGACAGGGTGGCTCAGGTGTTAATAAACGCTGAGTTGGCACCGCTGAGATTCTGCGTTTGAATCCAGGTAGCCCGACCGCCCCACGCGTGATTAAACTGGGTCCTCAAGTTTTACGAGTTCATGGTGACTGCAACAACAACAAAAAAATCATGTCACAAAAAAATGTTTTCACCTAATTTGGCAAAATTACAGCTCTTTGAGTTAAAACTATCAGACGGACACTTTAAAATGTCAGTACTTTACTTATTGGTAATACAATACTTTTTTTTAATTGCATTTTGTTACTCCAGCGTAGCATGTCAACTGCTTAGGACCGTAATTCACGTAAAATAATGATACAAAACATTACTTTAAAGGATCTCGGAAGTAGTTGTGTGAAATCTCATTCCACTGGCGATTTTATAACAGAGGGTGATGCACTGCACCGCAAGGTTTCAGAACGGACGCTTGAGAACGCACGATGCCAATAGCACATTTGGAATAAAACGTAAAACACGTCAGACAAATATTTACAAAGATAGAATGGGACATTGTGTGCTCTTGTCACGAGAAGAAACAACACCAAATAAAACACAATAGAGGAAATATTTATGATGAAAACGGGGATCTAGCAGGGATGCTAAACCACGTTTAATTTTTTTTAAAACAACTATCCCCAACATCAAGATTTCTAATACCGTGTTCAACAAAAAACAGTCCAAACGACGTTGATGATCTAAATGAGGCTGTCGTAATCATAAGCAAAAGCTCTCGGTGACCGGCAGATATATCACAAAAGTAAGTCGAGTGGCACCCAAGCAAAGTCACTGAGCTCATAACCGCTGCATGTACAAACCTGTCAGTTAGACTCCAGCCCATAGGGTAGGTACTGTACAGGTTGGTCCAGATGTCTTGTGACCCCCCCCCCCCCATTTAATTCCCTAAATAGTAACCTTTTTCGAAATGGTTTATTTAAAACAGAAATTACTATTTCTAAGGGGGGGGGGAGGGGGGGAAATGTTAGTGGGTCAATTCATTGTGGGGTCACAAGACATCTGGGCCACCCACTTCAGAGTATACCCTTCACCAGGACATGATATTACCATCTTGATTTGAAGCTTCCGTTACTGCAGGAATCCATACTCTTTGGTTCGTTCGGTAAAGTCACGTAGCTATAAAATAAAATAAATCACGACGTTTCGGGCGCAACACAAGCGTCCGTCATATTTTATTTTATACCTACGTGACTTTACCGAAAGAACCAAAGAGTATTAACCCTATTTGTTTACTGCTGGTATGCACACGTGGCATTTCAATGGACCGCGCAGCGTCGGGCGACTGGGGATGGGGGCTCATCCCCTTTCCACATCGTCAAGAGTTGAATTAAGCGAAGGTTGGCTCGCCTCGTCGCTCCGTGTGGACTGGGAGTGAAGGTGCCAGAGCGAAGAACGCATGACGGACATGATCAGACCGTGTGGTTTGCCCATTCTGTTGGGCGTTTCACAAATTGTTTAGAGTTTTAAATTTTTATTTAAAGCTTTCGTGACTGCAGGGATTCATATTCTTGGTTCTTTCGGTAAAGTCACGTAGAAGGGAAACAATAAAATAATAAAAGCTCTCGGTGACCGGCAGAAATATATATTTTTTATTATTTTATTGTTTCCCTTCTACGTGACTTTACCGAAAGAACCAAGAATATGTTTAGAATTTGTTTAACGTTGGGTCTCTCTCTCCCCCCTCCCTACCACACCCCCTTTAAACAAGATAAGGCTATCGGGGGTGATTTAAACTTCAAGAATGTGACAGGAATACTTCCAACGCGAGCGCTCTGTACTACATACTACAGTATCGTAGTGGCTGGCATCAGCATGGAACTTTGCTGCTGCTGTTGCTGCTGCCACACGCGAGCCAAGTTGCGGCTTGGAAGCTGCCCGGTTAAAGGGCAGCCGTGACCCATCGTCATACCAGGCGGGAGAGACTCGCGCGGTGCTGACCCCGTGCCCCCTATCCGCTGCCAAGTGGAGGCTATTATATCTCCTAGTATCACCTGAAAGTAGAAACTAGTTGTCCTAGTGTCACCCGAAAGGTGGCACACACAACATGAGTGCTCCGAAAAAGGGCCGTTGCCCTTCTACCCGTAAACGTCGCCTATATTTTATATATACACACATTAAAGCGGCGCTCTTGATGTGTAACACACAAATGTGTTGAAAGCAACGAAACATCAACGATAGAAGGCGCGGATCTTTTTGGTTTTGACACGACTCAGTTTGTCTTAAAACGCCGGGCACATTTGCGGAATTAACTCTCGTCAAAGAAAAGCGAAAATCACGTGCAATGATTGTGGTCCAAGAGATCCCCCAACCGCTGTAAAAACGTTTTGTTGACTTGGCAAAGAAAAAAGCCCGAGTCGACCTCTGGCGGCTGGGACAAGCGAACCCAGACACAAAGCAATCGCTCGACAGAACCAAAAAAAAACAATGTCCCTCCCTGGCTTTGCGATGAGCGCCCGAGCCGCCGGTCATTCACAACTTTCCACGGGGATCCTTTCAAACTCTTCAGTAGCGAGTACTCCGGGCGCAACAGGATGCACTGGAACAGCTACCACCGAGCCGAGCCAGTGACGTTCAAGCAAAAACAAAACTGAAACACGAGAAAGACAAAGATCCCCTTCCCCCCCCCGTCCCTCTCCAACAAACATACTTTTTGTGTGCAAGTGCTGGTGTTATTAGCGAGCGCCTATGAAGACCGGCGCAGCACACGAGCGGTCACGCTCACTTTGGCTCACTCGCACTCAGTGGCGACTCACCCAGTTGTTCCGTCAGCTGCTCTCCTGCTGAGACAACACGCTGCCTCTCTCCCTCTCTCCCTCTCCTTTGTTACTCTCCAACGTTTCCCCAAAGACGCTTGCTCCTGCAACGAAGTCGCATTCTAAGCCTCCCGTAGCCGCACGACTCTGGGTCTTCGCGAATCTGTGCGGGGTGCGGGGGAGGAGGGAAACCGCTCGCACCTTCCCGTGGGTTTCGCTCGACCCCGACTCGAAGGGGGAGGCGTTCGACAAACACTGAGGCTCAGTCAGCCGAGCGCCGGCCAGCCAAGTCAGCCCCGGCTTGCAAGCCCACATACCACCACCCACCACCCCCCTCGGGGGGCGGTATTGTAGGAGGGGCGGGGAGGTGGAGCAGGGGTGGTGCAGTGGAGGGTGTGCGGTGGACGGGGCGGAGTGCATGGGGGATGATGGAGGGAAGGGTGAGCAGAGTGGAGGGGGGGGCATTGGGGAGTCATGTGACAGCAAGCGTGCGGAGCAGGAACGGTTAAGGGATGTCAATGCTTTTGAGTGCCGTACAAGACACCGCGCACAGAGCGTGGGTTAATGGTTAGGAGCGTTGCCACTTCTGCTGTATATCGAAACAAATCGAGACGTAAAATGGGAAGAGGAGTGCTAGATTTGAAGCTTTCGTGACTGCAAGGATTCATATTCTTTGGTTTTATTCGGTAAAGTCACGTAGGTAAATTAAAACAAAATAAAAGAAAATCACGACGTTTCGGAGGCAACACAAGCTTCCGTCTTCAGGTGGAAAAGTCAACGCAGAATATCTGTGGCAGGAGCACAATTCAGAGACCGGGATTATATACAGGTTAAGGGAGGGGGAAGGAGTCAGTAAGGGGGCGATAGTGGGTGGTAGGGCCGGGCTACGCATCCTGTTGAAAGAATGCTGTGGGTAACACCCACTTCTCAAAGCCCACATCTGAATTGTGCTCCTGACACAGATATTCTGCGTTGACTTTTCCACCTGAAGACGGAAGCTTGTGTTGCCTCCGAAACGTCGTGATTTTATTTTATTTTGTTTTATTTACCTACGTGACTTTACCGAATAAAACCAAAGAATAAGAGGAATGCTGTATTTCAAAATGGCAGAAGAGGGGAGAAATACATCTATAGAGTGTATGCGTTGTCTAATAAGTGGTGTTATTTCAGAACTTACAAAAGCCGCAACTTTTTAACGTCCTTAGAAGACTTACAGATTTTCCAGGACGGATGTCTGAACCATAGGATGGATCTGGGTAAACCGGGACAGTCGGCAACCCTAGTGGATCGTAGTAATGATAACTAGTATAACACGGTAATTCACAGCCCTGTATCAGTCCGCTGACTGGATGAAGGCCTCCCCCACACCTTTTGATAAAATTAACCTCACCCCTCGCTATTTTCATCGTAATCACTTTTGGGTGAGGAGAGGTGGAGTAAACCCATTAGCAGAGACTGCCATTTTCTTCTTTACTGATGTCACCTTTTATATTAGAGACTCATTTTCAAAATGAAATTGTGCTTCATAACGCCAAGCCTTCGTAGCATCGTCCCATGAATTATTTTTATTGCATAATTTCCTAATGTTCTCGTGTACAAGTGATAGTATTGGCATGTGTCATGTCCTCTGCGTAGGGGTTTTTTTGTTCGCGTTAGTGCTGCGTGTCAAATGCAATTTTCAGATAGTACCGCGGGTTCTTCGGCAATGATGTCCGAAATTCGCTCGCTGAAAAAAATCTCCCAGCAAGTGGTGTTCGACATTTTTTTCTGATGTTCTACTTTTCCAGGATCCTCCCAGCATGTGCTTCCTTCAGAAACTGAACATGCATTTCCTGAAGCTCCTATCCTGTGGAGCGAAACATCATGCCGACAAATGCGTAGTAAAACCGGGAAACACATTTGAGAGCTTTGTTACATTTTTCCCACTTATTTTTTTTCTTATCAGCCACCTTAATTTCGCTCTCAAAGCATTTTACAAATGAACTGAATTCTGAGATGTTGAGAGAATCATAAGTCTTAAAGTGATATTTTATTGGCATTTGCAGAACACTTACGTTCTCAAAATAAACAGCCCAGTAAGGAGACATCAATAACGTAACCTGTAAAAAAGCAATGTGCTTTTTTGTTCACCGCATTACCATTGCCTACTTCCCTGCGCTGCATCCGGTAAATGCCTCGCAAACACCCAACATTAAACGTCATGTAAGTCATGTTAAAGTTTTTTCTCAAATAATAAAAAAATTGGTTCTAAATTCTCTGTTGTACTTTTACAAAACAGAACCTGACATCGCTTGCAAAATAATATAACGTTTTCTCATGCACCCTCTACAATGTTCAAATATTTATATATATTTAAACACAATTCCAGTTTTCTGATTAATTGCTGGAACATGCAGCCCGTGAGCCAAAGGGGTTCACGACAGTACCACCTGCAGTGGCATGTGCTACCAGTATCCACCATGGACAGAAGACTGAGCGTAAATAGCCTGTGGTAGAGACACACTTCATATTTATTTTCATACTCCGTAGATGTTTCACGTGACACGTTTATTGTTCTCCTCAAAACGATGTTCTCTATCAAACTTTGGTAACCTTTCTTTCACGACAGCGACTTACCGCAGAGAGCTACTGCCACTGTGATTCGTTCAACCTTGCTGCTGTTGTCGTAATTCACGGCACACGAGACGGGATGATTGCAATGCAACATGGACAGAATCCAGGCCCTTTACCGCTCTGATTACGAAACGTGATTACAACCTCACAACGATACAACTGTAGAGACAGACAACGTAACGATAACGCATTCCTGCGGAGGGAGCTGGTAGGAACGTTGGGTTGCTCGGTCAATGGCCAGGGTCAACGGCGGCACCACGTGGTGTATTCCGCAAATCTGCCCGACTGTGAGGACGGGCACAAGCCGGCGTGAAAAATTGAGTTTTATAAGGGCACCACGGGGTGACCAGCCCCTCCCCACCCAGCCCCACCCTCCCCACCCAGCCCCTCCCCACCCTCCCCTCCCCACCAAGCCCCTCCCCACCCAGCCCCTCCCCACCCAGCCCCCCCCCCCCTACCCTCCCCTCTCGATCTAGCCTCACCCCTCCCACGTGGACAGACATCCACAGACATACACAATTAATCCCCTGCCTCCTGTGAATTAATCCCGGTTGGGCTTCCAGTCCACTACGTTTCCTTCCAGTATAATCTATATAAATGCAACAACTTGCATGTAACGACTCATGTCAAGATTACAGTAAAACAATAATTCACGAATTTATCCGCTAACTGCCCACAATAATACACTCTTTCGTTGCTGGAAGACTTTGCTGTTTTTTCCTGGAATTTTCTGTTGCGTGCAGTCACTTTAAGATGTTTCTTGTTCATGTTTTTGTTTTGTTGCGGTTGCACCCGAGTCAAGAGACGCATGGCTCACAGGGTTGTACCTAATAACTGAAACTGACACTGACCACTCTGCGTGTCAACTTGGCATTATCGCCAACATCGCTCGCTATTCGCCACTCACTCGGTCACTGCGGTACTGCCTCGCCTGTGCCCTGCACGCCACGGCATCGCTACCACTCCACCCACTCTCACATCGCCACCACTCCACCCACTCTCACACCACCACCACTCCACCCACTCTCACACTGCCACCACTCCACCCACTCTCACACCACCACCACTCCACCCACTCTCACACCACCACCACTCCACCCACTCTCACACCACCACCACTCCACCCACTCTCACACCACCACCACTCCACTCGCTCTCACACCACCACCACTCCACCCACTCTCACACCACCACCACTCCACCCACTCTCACACCACCACCACTCCACCCACTCTCACACCACCACCACTCCACCCACTCTCACACCGCCACCACTCCACCCACTTTCACATCGCCACCACTCCAACAACAATAACCGCCATTCGCCACTAAGTGGCGGTGACGTCACCACGACGCTTGTGCCAGGCCATGTGCACCTTGAGGCCACGTGAAGTGTTGACCGCCCGCTGGCAGGAGGTCACGGGGCAGACCCAGGTGCCACGGGTCGACTGACTAAGATGACTGAGATGACTGGCTGCACCACCTGTGCCCCCTACTATGCCAACCTGCTGTGCTTTAGCCACCCGGCGCTCCGCTCGTTGTTGTGAGCGTCGCTTGTCCGCCCTCCGTTGCTGTTGGAGGGCGACTGCCTCCAACTGCCCAGTAGCAGCGTCCTTCACGAGCCTCCTCCACAGAGGCCGATCTTGACACCGCTGGTACCAGTCATCGGCTAGTCCACTCAGCTCCACGTCCTCCTGTACCACATCACTCCATCTTTTCTCTAGCCCGTGCCGCGCCCGCCGAGCCCCCTCGATCCGGCCGAACAAAAGCTGTTTCGGCATGCGGTGGCTGGCCATGCGGGCTACATGACCCAGCCAACGCAGCCTTGCCTGCCGGAGGAGCTCACCAATGGGACCTTGCCCAGATCTTTCAAGGATTTGTGAGCTCCTCACACAATCCAGCCTGGTTAAACCCAGGATGGATCGTAGGCAGGCAGCCTAAATGTTTCTAACCAGCGAAGATGTTCCATTAGGGGGGTCCACTCTCACACCACCACCACTCCACCCACTCTCACATCGCCACCACTCCACCCACTCTCACATCGCCACCACTCCACCCACTCTCACACCACCACCACTCCACCCACTCTCACATCTGCACCACTCCACCCACCCTCACATCGCCACCACTCCACCCACTCTCACATCGCCACCACTCCACCCACTCTCACATCTGTGCTCGGTCGACTGCTTATCACCCCCCCCCCCTCTCTTAGATTATTGCGATTTGGCTGCTAATACATTTCCATGTGTTCAGCAAATTCGTTCAGCTATCATTTGTGGCCAGGTCGCTTCTGAAAAAGAAGCTAACAGCTCAGTGGACTTTAATTGGTAAAATAAAATAGTTTCGTTTTAATTGCATATATGTTTTAGTGATTTGCTCACCTTTCCTATAGCTTGCACTCCTATCGTGTTTTTTTATTGGACTGGACATCTGTGATAGAGCTTCATAGCTCATCGGATTCCCCCACTATAAATACATATTCCGATTCTAAGTCTTGGCCGTTCCCCCGACCAGCATGGATGCTCGGCTTTTATATCACCCAGAAAGGCAGACATCCATGATAGAGTTGTTTTGGGTCAGATCGCGTACATATATAAATGTGTCGTTAAAACCGCCACCACCCGACACAGCCAATTAGTAAGGTTTGTCACGTAAAAAGAACATGCCAATTCGTTACTAGTACAGCACACCGGTTTGTTGGAGAGCAAAACCACAACATTTAC